TTTCACCAGTGGCCCCCAAACTTTGAAACCTTTACTCAGAAGCAGATAAGCTGGTTCCAGCATTGCTGCCTTCCCAAAAAGACTGTGAAATGGGAGACCAAATGCTCCCCAGGTGCTACTGGACTACAACTCCCACCATCCCTCGCTCTTGCCCATACTGGATGAAGTTCATGGGAGCTTGAGTCTTAGCAACATCTGGAGGGCCAGAGGTTCACCACATCTACAGTAAGATCTTCCTATTTGGCCAAGGATTTAAATTTCGTGGAGGCACTCATATATGCTTTTATTGTGATTTATAATTATTTGCTTTTGTTTACATGCCTTGCCTTCTTTATTTTTCGTGCAAACCACTTTGAGTTCTGTGGGAGAGGAGTATGAAACGTTTTAAAAAGTAAAACAAAACAAAAAAAGCAATATAGGATTGTCTTCAGTGTATTGAAATGAAGGAGCATGCCTAGGTTAAGCCCATTAATTTCAACAGGCCTACTCTGAGCAATAACTTAGTCTAAGAGCTTGGCCTATTTCTCTCAACCCCTTTGAGAGGATGTTTGAGCGCGATGATATATACACTAGAAGTTCTTACATAACTCTCCTGAGTCGCGTCCCCTGAGCCTAGAAGCATCAGGGAGCAAAGGGTGGAGGAAAACTGAAAAGGGCTGTGGATTTCTAGGGGATTTTTAAAACAATGCTTTTTTTTATAAAAAAAAAAGGGAGGAATGTGGTGCAGCTCTGGAATTTGTTCTGTGAAGCAGCAACATTCTGAATGAAGGAGCATCCCTTGACAGTCCTTTTCTATCTGGAATTGACTGGGGTTTGTGTGGAGTTGCTTACCAAGCTTGATGAACTGGGAACAGTCACAGCCATAGTGGAAGAAAGAGGAATCAGCATCTTACAGTATAATTAAGAAGGGGGGCACCTGCTGGTTTTGAAACAAGGCCTAATACTAAAAACAGTTCAACTGGCGACACTGTTTCCTGCATACCTAACCTGCCTCTTCTGCTGTTTCCTGAGGCCATCTCCTCTTCATTTGGGAAGAATAAACTGAAAGGTGAAGAGCTTGGTGGATGTGGACAAATAAACTGCTTGAAGTCAACAATGACTAATCCCCATTAGTAGCGGTAACTTAACACTCTCTACTTTCCATCACCACACAAATCCCCATTTCCTTCAAGTTCTGACAACCCTGAGAATCCTCAGCTGTTTACAACCTTTGCTCTGAGGCAGAAGTTGTTGCCTCAATTGCCAATGCAGAAGTGATAAAAAGGTATAATCCCTGCCACCTCATCCTCACAGCATCTGAAGGATAAACCGGCAGAATAGATGGGTTGGCCCTTTCAAATGTTAATCCGGCACAATAGAAAGATTTGAATCTTCAAATGGTCTTGGGATGGGAATAAAATTGACCTCCTGCCCAGTGAATATCTGAGTGACCTTGACTCAGGAAGGGAGTAAAGAAGAAGAAAAGAATATTTAAGAGGAATTCCACACTGCCACAAAAAAACAACCCACTGGAATTTGAATTGTAAAGTAAATCCATTACCCAAAAGGTATGGTGGTGGCTACATCAACAGAGCTGAAGTACTTGTCTCACAACCGATATGTGAAAATCCGAGAAGCCCTCTGTCAGGCAGTCAAAAGACACATACTTGAATTAATGTGGAGATGAATTTATAGGACTGGGTAACAAAGGCTGCGCATTCAGATGCACATACGATATAATGACTGGGGTGAGGTGGGAGAACATGAATATAAAATTATGTCTGAGCTTGATCAAAGATGCATTATACTGTCAAGAGATACAAACGGAGCATTTCCCAGTCTCTAACAAAGAAGGCATCTGACAGTAGCAAGCAAGTTCTCCACAAAGTAGGGTGGAATTATATGGTGTTTAATGCTAGATGTTACAGTGCAGAGGAGTGGAAAATCACCATAAGGAAATACCTGGGCCATGCTTAATGATAAAGATTAGGGTGGTTTAGGAGAAAGGGTGCCATTTAGATAGAGCAAGGAGTTCCCTCCACCTTCGCAATGAATGCCAACCATGTAGGATCATAACTTCATGAATGTTTGTCAACGGTTTTCACCACTGATCTTCAACAGTCAAGACTCACTAGTGGGCCACAGCCTGAGCACTATCACCATGCAAATATATGGTTAAAGGTTAAGAAAGGCGTCCTGGGTCTGAAAAGTTTGAAGAGACCTAGCCTACTCATTGACTAGTTGGCTGCTACCTCACCAATAACTGAAAGGGAACATCTGAGATGTGTTGCTAGTTCTTCAGACTAGCAACCTAGACTTTGAAAGGAGATGAGTGAATACTGCACTGGGGGATGTTCAGAAAGCAGGGTGAAGACTGAGAGAAGTAAGGAGATTTGGCTGGCTGAGAGAAAAGAAAATGTTGGAAGTGTGGTAATGTAAAGTTCTGCAATAGTCAAGAGTCCATATATTCTTCTACCACAATGAGCACTTTAAGTACCTTCCATTTCTGATCTAGAGAAGTTCTCACTCTTTTAAAAAAAAACTTTGATTGTGTTTTTTGTTTGTTTAATTTTATATTAATAAAAAAAACTAAAAATATATGAATATAAAAAAAGCATTCAGCAGGGGAGGGACTGCAGTGCACATGCACCAGGTCCAATCCCCAGTATCTCCAGGATAAAAGATTAGACAGTAGGTAATGTGAAAGAAGGTCTTGAATTGTTGTTGCCAGTCAGAACAGATAACACTGGGTTAATTTAATAACAGCCCCTTGTGGCATGAGAGGTTTGTTAATTACCAAAACTGGAGCTGTGGGACTGGATATGGTGGATTAAACATTTCCTCCTGGAAGTTTCTGCAGAATGAACAGAAGAGCCCATCCACTCAAATTCAACAATGAGAGTCGTAACTGTCCCCCCCAAATGTTTTAAAGAATAAACATACGGTACATATAAACAACAGGAAGCTCCATAGACACCCCTTCCCACCCAGCTGGGAAGGAATTAATTTGAGGCATTGCTCAGCCCAGGGGAATCAGCCTTCAAACACATGACATAAAAGCAGAGTGCCCTGATGCATGCACAGAATGAATTTCCCCATCACTAAGTAATTACAGCCTGCCCCATACATCTGGGTTAAGGGTCAGATCTTCCATGTTAGAGGGTGCAACTGATAGGCAGGCTTGGCCTCTGGCACGTAGCCACCCACTGAGATCAGGTGAGAGTTGCAAGTGTCCACCAAGAGGATTTTCCATCCAGCACATCCTGTCTCGCTTTTTCAAACGCAATGTTTTCCACGAAAGTTTAGGGTCAGTAACAAAACCGATTATCCTTCAATGTCCTGCAGACTATTGGTGGCATTTCTGTCCAATCCTTCTGCTCTCTTTCCCTGTCCTATTATATAATACAGGTGCAATAAAATAACACTCTCTCCTGTGTCTGTTGTACAGTGGTACCTCTGGTTAAGTACTTAATTTGTTCCGGAGGTCCGTTCTTAACCTGAAACTGTTCTTAACCTGAAGCACCACTTTAGCTAATGGGGCCTCCTGCTGCCGCCGCGCCGCCAGAGCACGATTTCTGTTCTCATCCTGAAGCAAAGTTCTTAACCTGAAGCACTATTTCTGGGTTAGCGGAGTCTGTAACCTGAAGCGTATGTAACCTGAAGCGTATGTAACCCGAGGTATCACTGTATGTCCGAAAGATCCTACCTCGGCGCAGAAACTGAACTTGATGAGCTTTGGATCACACCCAAAAACACCACAGTCCTATGAACTTTGCAATACTAAGGTCAGCAGACAGCACAAGACGCACACAATTTAGATTTCGATTGCTCCTATTGCATCTAGGCACCAGGAATGAACTCCAGGGGAGGGTTTAATCTGGCACACCTTCCCACCTTTATCTGAATCTGGACATGTACGGTGTTGCCCTGACACAGGATAGTGTCTCCACCCCATTGGAATGTGGTCTGGAGTACAAAGTAATGGTAAACATCCTTCCTAGCCGAGAAATCTAATCTTACAGTTCAGGACTCTACCTGCGGAGGAACTCTCAATATCTGAAACATTCCTTCCTCAAACAACTGGGGAGGGGGCAGAATAGGGAAGGGGAGGGGGCAGAAGAGCGGGATCATTATGTAAGAGGGAGACTAAAGATGCTGAACAACAGTTATTAAAAATACCAGCCCTGTAGGGGGAAGGCAAGAGAAACACTCCCGCAGCAGGAAAGAAAAGCCAAGAGCAAAGGTTACTGAGGAGGTCGGAGGCAACCTTTGAATCGCAGCAGCAAACATTTCAGATGTATCATTTTTCATGCAATGAATGTACACGCAGCAGAGAGAAAAGGAGAGACGTAATCTCCTAAAACCTGAAGGCTGGCAACATTTCTCCCTTTCCAGTGAGAAACCGCGGGTAGATTTATTTAAATAAAAAAACTCATTAATTGTGCCCAATAGCTGCAAAGAGAGCGAGTTACAAGGAAATCAATTTGGGGAGAGGGGAGGGAAGGGAAGGAGAAGGGAGAATAGTAATCTAATCTTCAGAGCGGAGCAGCAGGAATCTATATGAATGTATGCATCTCAAACCTTGGAACAGTTTTAGAGAGAGGACTTTACAAACCAAGGGAAGCAACTCGTGTTTTATCAGCGCGTTTTGCCATATAATGCCCTGGCAATCGAGTATATATTTTTTTATAAGTTGTTTTAAAAAAACACCCAGAACAATTAACAAGCCATTGATTTCTACAGATCTAAAGGCTAAGCGGGACGGAGCGGAGCTTTAGTTTTGGACACAGCCGAGTCGAGAGTTTGCAATCTGCAACACAAGGCACCGAGGAGTTACCAAATAAGGAGAATAAAGGGGAGGCGTGGGGGGGGGAGAGGAATAAACCTTTGTGTTGGCAGCAAAGCAAGAGTGCGATTCCTTTCCCCTGGTCCTGCCGCTCCACTACTACTCCTATTCCGCCGCCGCCACCTTGGTCCGCCCCCCCCCCAAACCAGCAAATTTTTTCTTTCGCCCAACTCACCTCATCGGCCAGTAGAGATCCTCGCACTGCCCGGCGCACCAAGTTGCAAAGCCCAAAGGCGCGCACTCTGTGTGTGTGTGTGTGTGTGTGTGTGTGTGTGTGTGTCACACCGGCTGGCTGCTCTTCTGCAATCTCCTTCCACCGCCGAGCAAAGCTTGGCCAAAGCAAAAGCCAAGGGGCGGGCGGGCGGCCGGGCTGGCTGACCTCTCTCCGCTTCCGAAGCGCGCACTTGCGCGCAAAAAATGCTTTTGATCTCCTCTCAGTTCCCGGGCTCGGAGGACTTTGTGGTGCCGGAGGGAGCGAGGGGTGTGTGTGCGCGCGCGTGCCTGGGAGCTCTCGCGCGCGCCTGTGTGTGTGTTTGTGTGTGTGTGCGCGCAAGCAAAAGTCTAGGGAACCCGAGAACTCAGGCTCGCCACCCCGTCGCCGTCCGTGCCCCCCTTTCCCGATCTCGCATTCTTCTGTTTACCAGGGGCACCGTCGACCCCGGTTGAAATTGACTAGTCTAGTCAGTTTTCAGAGGGCGCCTGGGAACTCTTCTGTAAAGTCACCGCCGACGCCGCCTCCTTTTCTCTGCCCCCCACCCGCCTCCTCCTCCTCCTCCTCCTCCTGCCGCCCCGATCACTCTTTCTCTCCGCAGGAAATCCCTCCCAGACTCCTGTTCTTCCCTCCTGATTGGGAAAAAAAAGCGAGAAAAGGGGGGGGTGGCGGACGGCTAGGCTTGCTGGGCAGGGCCAGAGAGTTGCCTGCTGCCACTCAAAGCAAGCAGAGGAGGGGTGGATTCAGGGGTTAACCCGATGGGAGGGTGTGTGTGTGTTGTGAAGCGTGTTACCTGAGCCCTTGGCGCGGTTAGGAACATGTGCGCACAGGTAGGACGGGCTCCGTGTCTGGAGCGGAGGAGCTGCTGAGCGCCATCTCTTCCCCGCCTTTCGCTTTCTTCCCCCCTCTCCCCCCCCGCCTCCTTTTTAAGTGAGAGCCTGCAGGGTTCATTGGAGTCTCAAGTGGATTTAATGAGAGTTACTTGGCAAGAGGAAGCGGCGCAACCCTTGCCAAACTATGTGGAAAAGGAAGGGCAGAGAGGTCTGACTTACAGGTATCCATTAAGGGCGCCTCATATTCCCACCCCCTCTCCCCCCACGCCCCGCTAGCCTATGTCTGAGTATTGGTCTGGTATTATTTAGTCTTGATTTCTATGCCAGGTTTAATCTGGATGTTCATTGATTTAGTGATACTATTGTTAAGCAGCGTGGCGTAATGGTTGGAGTGTTGGACTAGGACCTGGGAGAGCAGGGTTCGAATCCTGACTCAGCCATGAAGCTCACTTGGACCGTCACCCTCTCTGAGCCTAACCTACCTCACAGGGTTGTTGTGTGGATGAAATGGGGAGAAGAACCATGCACACACACCTCCTCGAGCTCCTTGGAAGATAAACATGGTATATAAGTGTAATAAATAAATCAAGCATTTGGCTGTTTTTATTAGGGCCTTATTGTTGATGTTCTTAAGCACCTTGTGTGGGGCAGGTGGATTAGTTTATATATTTAATACATGCATCGTGTTTGAAAGTGCAAATTAGTCATTTCCATAGGACGTATCTTCAAACTGTGGTATTATGTGTAATGGAAAATAGGTACAGAAAGGAAAATTCCTGGATGCCAAGTTTGGGACAAGTACTCTTTGGTGAAAGAACCCCAGCAAGGATTTAAAATCACAAAATACGCAGCAAAGTAAAGCGTGGAAATATAGGCTGTTGGACTTTTAGAATATGCCCTTCCAAGTTTCTTCCAAACTTTCCTTCTTTCTCTGGCATAGAAAAAGACCACATATCTGGTAAGTTAAAAAGTCCCTAAAGGTCAGATTCATGTGCTTTTCCATACAGCATTCAGTTTCTCAGGTAGACTAGAGAAGAACAATAGTCTTTATTACCTACTTCCCAAAATGAGGGGAAGTGACCTAGGCTAAGCCTGGCAGGACAGCTTAAAGGTAAAGGTAAAGGGACCCCTCACCATTAAGTCCAGTCGCGGACGACTAGGGTTGCAGTGCTCATCTCGCTTTATTGGCCAAGGGAGCCGGCGTTTGCACACAACGTCCGGGTCATGTGGCCAGCATGACTAAGCTGCTTCTGGCAAAACCAGAGCTGCACATGGAAATGCTGTTTACCTTCCCGTCGGAGCAGTACCTATTTATTTACTTGCACTTTGATATGCTTTTGAACTGCTAGGTTGGCAGGAGCTGGGACTGAGCAACAGGAGCTCACCCCGTTGCAGGGATTCGAACCTAACCCTTTTGTGTCTTAATTAGATTTAAGCATGTGGATTATATGAGGCTGGTTATTTCACAATTATCACCTGTGATAAGTAATTAGAGCACATTATGAGGGGGGGGTGTGTATTTGCATATACAAGTGAATAAGAAGGATTGCTATTTCGTATTTTGGATAGTTGCTTCCTTCTCCTTTAAAGGCATTTCAGATGCAGCATTAAAAGTACCTTGAAGACCCTGATTGTCATGCTCGTGTGTAGACTATCAAAATTATATGTCGGTGCGGTAGTTTAAGTGCTGGGCTATGACTGGGAAGGAACAAGGTTGCTTAGTCATGAAGCTCACTAGGTACCTTTGAGCCTAACTTTCTTGTGAGGATAAAAAACAGGTGGTGAAGACAAGACCCATCTTATGCTTCTCTTCGCTGTAGGCCACTCTGGGTTCTACAAAGGACAAGCTGAACATAGCTACAATAAATAAATAATTTTTGAACAGTACGCTTTTATTTGCACATTGAGGAGGGTCAAGAGCTCCTGGAGTTCTGGGGAAGGTGTGGTTGGAGGGAAGAGCTCAACCTATACTGTCAAACCTTGGTTCCTGAACACCTTCGTTATCATACGTTTCAGCTCCTGAACACTGAAAACCTGGAAGTAAATCTTCTGGTTTTCAAACGTTTTTCAGAACCCAAACGTCCGACGTGGCTTCCGCTTGAGTGCAAGAAGCTCTTGCAACCAATCGGAAGCCGCACCTCGGTTGTTGAACGTTTTGGAAGTCGAACAGTCTTCCGGAATGGATTATATTTGACAACCGGGGTTTGACTGTACACTAAGAATGAACTCATTATCCTAATGTGGATCCTTCTGTAGCCCATACAAGGAAAAGGAATCAGCAGGTAGGCTTGCAGGGGGTGTAGAAATACAAATAAATATTTAGAGGGGTGGAAATATTGGGAGATCCCAAAACTGCCCGGTAAGGACTGGGCATGTTCAGCGTGCACAGAATGCTGAACAACCGAGAAATGTACAATCAAGGGAGGGGATAATGGAACAACGAAGTAACTTAGAAAAGGTCATAGCTGCCCGGCTGAAACCGTCAGTTTGGGGAAGGCTTCTCATAGTTCTCTGTGTTCACAATATGGCTCTTTGTCCCAGTATCTTTGACGTTACGTTGCCCCCTTGATCAAAGATTTCAGCCCCTCAACCCTCCACAATAACAGGCTTATCTCCCTTTGGGCTTCTTGCGGGAATACGTTTTTCTTTGACATTTCAAACAGATTAAATGCTTTCATTAAAGGTAAATGTTCACTGCTTGCCTGATAGGGAAAGTGCAGCTATCACGATTTTTCCAAGTCAGAGTGTTTTTCTGCCTTTGAGGAATGCCTCTTCTGAGTGGCTTCTGGTTATCTGTAAAGGACTTACCTCATTCCAAGACCATGCAAGAGATTTGTTTGTTTGCTATGAGCAACAGCAATCATCTTAACCCCTAAGGAATTATTTGCACTGGAGGTGAGCAGGGTAGGGGTGGGTACTAGAGAGTACCTTGTTAATGACTTCTGCGACCACATCAAGTGCATTTCAAAGGCAGTGGTGGCACATGAAGATGAATTACTTTTCCATATATGGAAGGACTGTTGGTCTGGTCCACCTAATCACTGCCCTGAGATCCTGTCCTGTCATGTGGTGGCTGTGGAGGCAGAACTCCACATTGCGTGTGCAGAACCTCTGGCTGGCGATGATATGCTGGGATGCCGTGGGAGAGCGAATGCTTTGCATGCAAATTGTAGTTCCAGGTCGCAGTTCAGTCCCTGGCATCCCAGGTAGGGCTGGGTATGGCTCCTACCTTAAACCCTGCAGAGCTGCTGCCACTCAACGTAGGTAAGGGATGGGGATCCTCTGGAATATAAGAAGCTGTCTTATAGCAAGTCAGATCATTGGTTCGTTTAGCTCAGTGCTGTATACCGGTACATTGATTGGCAGTGGCTCTCCAGGATTATAGGCAAGGAATCTCTCTGGTGCTGGTTGAACTTGCATGCAGATCAGATGCTCTACCACTGAGCTACCTTCTCCAAATACAGTGGTACCTCGGGTTAAGTACTTAATTTGTTCTGGAGGTCCATTCTTAACCTGAAACTGTTCTTAACCTGAAGCACCACTTTAGCTAGTGGGCCTCCTGCTGCCACCACGCCGCTGGAGCACAATTTCTGTTCTCATCCTGAAGCAAAGTTCTTAACCAGAGGTACTATTTCTGGGTTAGCAGAGTCTGTAACCTGAAGCGTATGTTACCCGAGATACCACTGTATGTCCTTTCTATCATCCCTGACCATTTACTATAGTAGTTGGGGCTGATGGGAGTTGGAGTCCAAGAACATCGGAAGGGCCATGGGTTCTGCATTCCTGGTGTAGACAGTATTGAATTAAACAGGCCAGTGGTATGACTCCGTACACAGCAGCTTCCCATGTCCATAATGCGCAGAGTGCAAATGTTTCTTGCACACAGGCCAAGTCGGTGGGCTACACAGATGCAGCCCAGTCCTAACCAAGTTTACCTGGAGGTGCCATAGCTCAGTGGCATCACATCTGCTTTGCATGCAGAAGGTCCTGGTTGAATCCTCAACATCTCCAGGTAGAGTTGGGGGAGACCTCAGTCTGAAACTTGGAGACCTCTTCCAGTTGGTGTGTAGAAAGTGCTGAACTCGAAGGGTCAGTGGCCTGGCTGACTCCATAAAACGCAGTTCCCTATATTCCAATGGAAATAAACTACCCTGCTTTCTGTGTGGTTTGCTTCTGAATAGGCCTTCTGTATGCAAGCAAGCCACTCTAATAAATGTGTGGATTGCACCAATAGTTGCTAAAAGGTGACTCTTAACAATAGTGTATTGATTGAATGTGTGCCCATTGTAACTTTTTAACAGAACATTATAAGGCTCTGCCATCTACAGAATACAGAAATGTGGTCTATTTGGGTGAGTACTGTCAACCCTGATTGGTTGCATCTCTTCAGGGTCTCATGCAGAATTCTTCCCAGGCCATCTGGAAGGAGTAAGTGTTGAAAATGAGACTTCCATGTGTTCCCCATCCCTCAGTTATAGCTTCTTCCTTTAAGTGTCTCAGAAGGTGTTTTGTTTTGCAGATTATAAACAACACACGTGGCTGGATTTTATTTCAGAAGGACCAGTCATGATAAATGTCAACCCGCCCCCTGCCACACTTTCTACTGGCTTCTATCACGGTGGGAAGCAAATCAGTCCCTATGACAGTGTGTTGAGAAATGATGCTAAACTGGGGTTTATTGAGCAATCTGAATCATTGGGGGGGGGGCGCGGATGGCCGGGTGAGAGAGGAGTATAAACGCTGCTTCTAAGACACACCCTATATGTTCCAGTTCTTAATAAAGAGATTATTATGCGGATTTGATTATAAATGGCAGCATTTTATGGCTGCTATTTTGAAGAGCCTGTATCTATAAGTAGACACGCTTGGAAACATCACAAAGTTAAAGGTCTTGTTATTCATTATCTGACTTTGCCAGAGCTTGTGAAGTGCACTGACATTTATAACGATTCTTTGAATTTATGTGGCATCCTTTGTCCTTTTAAGGATCTTAATTAAGCTTCTCAACTCCCTGAGGAGCTGATAAGCCCAGTTCGAAGAGAGGTACAGGAACTTAATACACCCAAAATCAAGGCCAGCCATATATTAAAATCAGGACATCTCAAATGGGACCTTGATAGCTGGCCTGGTTTGTAAAGGAACATGGCTTGCAACTTGCAGTTTTCCAATGTGAACTACGACTGTTGAAATCAGGCCCAGTGTCAGCACACAGTGCCCTTAGGCATCTGTCAGGCCCCACCTTGGAAGCTGCCATTTTAATTTTCCACAGTGCCCCACAACCCTAAGTTGAGGGCATTGTGAGAAATTAAACGAATGGTTCCCAAACCTGGTGCTGATCAGAGTGCCGTTGCTGCTGCTACCTCTGCCTCAAAAACCTGCCAGGGCCCGCCAGTGTTGGAAAGCCCCTTAAAACCTAGAGCTGGACCTAGTCAAAATTATAATCCTGAAAGTAGTTGTATGCAGAATACTTCATGAAGTATTCCAGGGCAGAATCTTTTAGCATCATTGGGCAGAGTGTGAGTCTGAGGACCATTTCTCACTGATGTTTACCCTCAAGCCAGACATTAGCCCAGCTGGGACGAAAACAAGAACAAATTGCGGGGCGGGGGGGGGGGAGGCAGGGAGGGAAAGCTGTGAGGATGTTTAGTTAGCAATTCCCCATATTCCTGCATTATCATTATGTGTCAATGTCATTTGCTGTGCAATGTGAACTTCTGCCCTTAGCGCCTGAGAATTAGGACACGTAGCACAAACAGATTTACCATCAGGAACAGCAAGAGATGTTGCCATACTCTTAGCTTGTATTCTTAGCATGTCTTGTTCGCTTGGGGATTGCTGGTGTAATTTCCCCCCACCCCTTTGTTTTAATTGTTACGGTTTTAACAATACGTGCAGAGGATGAAATCCTTTCCTGAAAGCGTTAGTCATGTTCCGTGGAGCAGCGTGATTCCTGAACAGTGGCTCCGGGCCCTCAAATGGATTCTGGGAAAGTCATGGGTGGATCAAGCAGTTTCCAGCAGGGAACAGCAGCAATTCAACACTGGTTAGAACAAAGGCAACAGTTCACTAGGTGATTCCCCTTAGTACAAAGGGGGGGGGGGGAAGATGCCAGTGAGAATTATTTTGTCACAAAACGTGAGTGGTTAATGTATTTACATGTTTTAATATATTTACATGTTTCTGTAGAAAGATTCTCAAAGACGCAACATGCCCAACCCAGTTCCAACACCGAGGAGCTCCGGCATGCGCACACTGTGTATATAAATAGAATGTATACATGCATGCAGCATATTATATAGGGACATGTGCCAGAAAGCCAGGACTGGCCTTGCCATTCTCTTGTTTGTCCAGCTCTGATGAAATGGTCTTTGAGTCCTTGCTCAGGTGATATTCTGTATACTCCAACAGACATGTGCAGTCACAGATATTTATGTGTAAATATCTCTGACTGCTCCTATGCACATTCTCGATCATGAACGCAGAAGAGCTCTGTTGGAAAAATTCTGGAGGAAGGCGGATTTGGATGCTAGAGGAACTTCTGGAAGCAGTGGCCTCACTTTGCCTAATGTTAGGGCCGGCTCCGAGTATGTAGAGCATCATCTTGGATTATGATCAAAACTGTACAAATTATCTATAGGATTGCCAGGCCTTTGCCCAAAGGTGGCACCTGTCTTCTCACCCATCCTCTTTGAGTGGCTATTTCACTGGGTTGAGTAGTGTGGCTGCCTCAGGTGGCAAAGAAAAGGGGGAGATAATTCCATCTGGCAAGCAGAACTGCTTGCTCTCATGGAACAATCGCCATAGCACAACATTGAATTCCACCCAAGAATTCCTATAAACTGATATCCAGGAAACAATAATTAAAAGATCATAAAATACCGAACAGATGACCAACAACAAATCAATTCAATTATCTAAAAACACTTGGCAGGACCAAAAACATTGTCGGCAAGCAGTGATTGTAGGTGCCTTTCTGATTTCAATAAGAACCATGTTCTAAATAACTGATGCCGCTATGCTAAAAAACCCCGGCTCACTGAGAAACTAAACAAATATGAAAATATTAACTCATGTGGCACAGTTGATCATGCAGTCAGGGATCTTGTGAGAGAAAGGTGGTAATGTGAAAAAGTACAGGGTGAGATTACAGCCACAGGCTCCACTCTTGCTGTTTTTTCAGGACTTCTTTTGCTGACAGATGGTGCACCTGCAGCTCCTATTTACAGAGAAGCCTCAATCTCAAAAATGATTAATATCCACAAATCTAGCTAATCACCTTTGAAATGAGGCTCCTTTGTAAATAGGATGTAATAGCTTAGCTCCTAGTTAAGGAACTGTACCCCCTCATGCAGTTTTTAGATATGACAATGTAATGCTTCTGTCCTACCCTTATATTTCTATAGGAGAAAACAGTCTTGTGCAGAGTGGGCTCCCGTGAAGCTATAAAGTGAGATGTTATCTCGATGAGCCACTTTTGCCATCTAGAGGTAAATATGAGCACTGCCATTTTGGGATGCTTTTTCGGTGTTTGTGTGTGAGAAGAGCTGGGAAAATGCGCTGGGAGGTGCATTGCTTTGATGCAACGCTGTCTAGCCTCCATGCAAACACAGCAGAAGAAATGCTCAATAAATAGCCTACATTGTCTAATCTCCATGCAAATAAATCAGGATGAATGACCAATAGATAGGTTGTCTGGAAGTGGGTGGCCTCTGTCTGTTTCTGAACTATGGTAAAGGGTAAAGGGACCCCTGACCATTAGGTCCAGTCGTGAGCGACTCTGGGGTTGCGGCGCTCATGTCGCTTTATTGGCCAAGGAAGCCGGCATACAGCTTCCGGGTCATGTGGCCAGCATGACTAAGCCGCTTCTGGCGAACCAGAGCAGCGCATGGAAACGCCGTTTACCTTCCCACCGGAGCGGTACCTATTTATCTACTTGCACTTTGACATGCTTTCGAACTGCTAGGTTGGCAGGAGCAGGGACTGAGCAACAGGAGCTCACCCTGTCACGGGGATTCAAACTGCCAACCTTCTGATCAACAAGTCCTAGGCTCTGTGGTTGAACCCACAGCGCCACCCGCGTCCCTTCTGAACTATGGTACCTTCCCTCAAATATGCCCAAAAGTAGTTTGGGCTACCTTAGTAACTGCTGTTGTCCTCCATTGCCTTATCTGCGGTCATTTGGGGACCTGTGAGTCCCTTATTTTGCCCTGCAATCCCATTATTTTACTTGTTTAGATTTCTATCCCAATTGAAAATGATTTTTTAAAAAATAATCCCATCTGCCTAAGCACTCTCTGCTCTCCACTCTCTTGCATGGTATCTCTCATCTCTGTTTTATAGACAACTGTGTTGCTCACTGTGTGCAGCTTGCCTGAGTTAACCTCTGTCTTCCCACCCAAGGATAAGGTTGCCAACTTTTCTCCTACTAGCTTTTCTCCAATGCCTTCCAAAGTGCTGCCTGGCACACGAAAACAAGAGTTTTCTTGCAATGTTATCTTCCATGCCAGGAAAAGATATATATTCTGTAAAAGGCAGTAGCAATAGTAGGATTTATTCTGTGACCAGTGGCGGTAACAACATAAATTTGAAGCCACTGTCTAAACCAAAATGACAGAACATATCAGACCTATCCTTAACTTGAACTTGAGTTTGCTAGTTTCCTCTCCCCTCCCAGACCAGTTTTCTTTTCATGCTGTCATAGGCCTGAGTGCAGGGAATTTTTTGTGATTTATAAGCCACTCTGGGAGGCTTTTGGGGCTGAAGAGCAGGATTTTAAAAATTGCTTCATTTACAAGAGCCAGTACAAAAGGAAGAAGGTAAGTTGGTAACCATACCCGTGATATGTTGCCAAAATCCTGACATGGTTCCTTCTCCTCTCCTGTCCCCTCAGCCCCTGTAATGAATGCTGCTGTGACGCAGGAAGACATATCCTGCACCCTAGAGAAAGGGACAAGGAAGTATATTTCCACTGAAATAAAACACGCTTCCTTATGACTATAACCAGAAGCACCACTCAGCAAATTGACAGATTAAGGAAGCTGGCTATAAACGCTGATCCTTTTCCCAGCCCTGCTCTGCAAACTTCTCGGTTTAAGATAACACAAGAGGACTGCTTATACCATGGAAATGAATGAAAGCAAGGAGCAAGGCTGCAGAGATAAGGGAGAGAGAGAGGGATTCAGCCAGAGAGTGATCTAGCTTCACTGACCTTAATGAAGAAACCAGAATTCATATGTGTGTTTGTTGCACGTGTATAAATACAAACCAACATTTTATACTACAAACCTCAATGAGCATATAGTATATGCAGAGAACCTTTCTTTCTTGTGTTATTTCATTCATTCATTCATTCATTCATTCATACTGCCCTTCATCTGAAGATCAGGATGGTTTGCAATATTAAAAACACAAAGCACATACCATAATAACAAACCAAAACAATATTTCTCCACAGAAAACATTAAAATAGAAATAATTTATGCTGGCTCTAGGCATATAATTTTAGCAAGTAGATTTCTAAAATTGCCAAATTTCCACACACATCCAATATTCCCTATGACAGGAACCCATTTAGGAAACTGGTTGTATCCATTTCAAAACACCTGTTTAAAATTTCTAAATGTAGCAAAACAAGCCGTCCCTCTAAAAGTCGTAAAATGGCATCTACATAAAGTTTGGGGAAACTAAAAGCCACTGATCATATTCAGAGGAGGAACAGAAGACAATCCTTAAGCATGGGTATAGGTTTTCCAAATTGCTATGTCCCTAAACACCAGAATATGTCTTAGTAAAGAGCTATGTATCCTTGTATTGTCTGGAAACTACAGCGGGGCTGGCTTCCACCCACACAAGGGGACTCAATACCATATCAACATCATCCATACTGAATGAACTTGGAAAAGTTATCCCCAGTTTGTTGCCATCTTGCCCGCAGAGCAAAAACATTTCCCAAAAGTACTTTATTTTATGACAACACAATCGTACATTTGTAAAACCTCCCAAAACCCAAAGCAAACATGCTCATTTTTAGGGCGGGCAAAAAGAGAGCAGGGACTCTTGTGGGCTTCAAAATTTCTCTGAAATTCAGTCTTCTATACTACTGTCCTCTTTTGCATCGAACCACCTTTCTCATCTGCCACATAGAAGGGGCTAATCCATATAAATCAGTGAAAAGGTAAAAGGGGCCCCTGACCATTAGGTCCAGTCGTGGCCGACTCTGGGGTTGTGGCGCGCATCTCGCTTTATTGGCCGAGGGAGCCGGCATACAGCTTCCGGGTCATGTGGCCAGCATGACTAAGACACTTCTGGCGAACCAGAGCAGTGCACGGAAATGCTGTTTACGCTCCTTGAGTTGCAATATTAAGCATGCTCCTTGACGTGCTTTCGAACTGCTAGGTTGGCAGGAGCAGGGCCCGAGCAACGGGAGCTCACCCCATTGCGGGGATTCGAACCGCTGACCTTCTGATCAGCAAGTTCTAGGCTCTGTGGTTTATCCCACAGCGCCACCCGTGTCCCAATCAGTAGGTGGAACTTTAAATAGCATTGAGTTAAATACGATCACCTGCTAATTGCTTCAGATCAAACTGCAGTTGCAGGGAAAGGGGTGACTCAAAAGTTGGCAACCCTGCTACGGACTAGCAGCTGTTTGAGGTTGCTGTATTGGAAAGTTGATTCCATTCCCACCGGAATGTCACAAGGGTTCACTTCCAAATAATGCTATTTTCTAAAAAATCTACCGGGTTTCTAGCTCTGATTGTTATGAATGTAAGTGTAAAAAAGTGCAGGAAATGTCTGGGGAAAGCCAATGGGGGTTTGTGTGTGTAAAGTTGACAACTCTTCATTGCAACAGGTCTGTTTATTTTTCTGTAACCAAAAAATATTATCTGAATATTACATCATAAGAAAGGTAATGCAGAACAGGAAGGGCTTAAACAAAAGCCAGGTTGGCAACTTTTGAAGCAGCCCCTTTCAACAGCCGTTCGTTGATATGCAGCAATTAGCAGCTGAAAATGTTTAGCTCCTTGCTATGAAAAGCTTCAGGTGCTGATTTCTAAATTTCAAAGCTATTTTAACAGGACAGGTGTAGGTCAGTCCAGCTTTACTCCCCCTAAACCTGTCAGCATACCAAGGGAGAAAGTGGGAAGGGTTTCCACTTCCCTGTATATCTCTTTGCTAGTAGCCTATATATATATGGTAAAGAATGGTTAAGTCCAGTCAAAGGCGACTATGGGGTGCAGCGCTCATCTCACTTTCAGGCCGAGGGAGCCGGCGTTTGTCCACAGACAGCTTTCTGGGTCATGTGGTCAGCATGACTAAACCGCTTTTGGTGCAACGGAACAAAGTGAAGGAAGTGAGAGCGCACGGAAACGCCGTTGACCTTCCCACCACAGCGGTACCTATTTATCTACTTGCACTGGCGTGCTTTCGAACTGCTAGGTTGGCAGGAGCTGGGGCAGAGCAACAGGAGCTCACCCCGTTGCGGGGATTCGAACCACCAACCTTCTGATCGGCAAGCCCAAGAGGCTCAGTGCCTCTTCTGATCGGCAAGCCCAAGAGGCTCAGTGCCACAGCACCATCCACATCCCTCGTAGCCTGTATAATACTTCTTAGAACACAGAACTTCAGAGTGCTCAAAGCACTTCACATAAATGACCTTGTAATCCTTACAACAGCCTTATATGGTAAGAGGAGATTGCCCCCTACTGGAAACAGTAGAGGCTGAGAAACTGTTGGTGGCCTATGGCCAGCTAGTGAGCTCATGGTCGAGGTGCGATTCAAACTGGGGACTTCCCTGATTCATAGGTCAGTCTCTTTGCCATTATGCTACACCAGCACCCCATAGTCGCCTTGAGTGGACTTAACTCCAGGGGTCTCTTACCTTTTTCCTTTTTACACCAGCTCTGTATTGGATAATATAAGACAAATATGTACTTCTGTGCAGCTTTGCATAGCTTATACAGGTCCACAGATTTTAACACAGACTTTAGGTCCAGCAGGTTATATTTTATTCCAATGACTCAGAATAAACTAAAAGGCAATAAACAAAACAAAACCCACTTGCTGTGTAATTTTATGCATGTTTGCTCGGAAGGAAGTCTCACAGCACTGAGTGGGGCTTATGCCCAGAGAATATTGACATTTGAACACTACAGGGCACAATCGAGCACAGCTAAACCCATAAAAATGATTGTGCTTTTGCACAGCTTCTGCTCGTTTCAACCAGACTTCAGCAGAATTTCCTCTTGGGTTGTGATCCATGCTTTTGCGAAAGTAGATAGAAATCTCATATGTCACATTCAGGAATGGGTAAGCGTTACAGGGGACAAGAAGGACCCAGGAAGCTGCCTTGTACCCAGTCCCACCAATGGTCCATCTGCCTCAATGTTGTCTACACTGACTGTCAGGATTTCAGACAGGGAGTTTCTCCCAGCCCTACTTTGTGATGCTGGGCATTGAACTTTGGACCTTCTACACACAAAGGAAATACTCTACCCACCGAGCCATGGCCCTTTCCAACAAGCCGTTTATGCTTCCAAAGACCTGCTTCTGCATGACATTTCCACGCATCTTCTAATGGGCGTGTGTAGCCACTTGTAAAGAGCCACAAGGAATGCAAAACAGACAAAGTGATACCCTATGACAGGTTAATTTTGGTAGTATCAGAACAGACACTTCGAGCACAATTTAGAAAGATGAAAAACCTGGTGACGAGGCAAGGATTCGAGCCACAGAGAACATTTCCTCTGGAATAACTGTGTTGTGTATTCTCTTATTAATAATCATATAAAAGAAATCCCACCCCGATTGTAACCTTTTGTGTGTGTGTTTTTTTTTAAAAAACAATTGCTCTGGAAGCTAAGAAGCTCCGTTCCAGATATGCTAAGGCTTTCTAATTTTAAAACTTCATGCTGTATTTTTTATGTTTTAACTTTTATATGTCATGTTGTGTGATTTCAGCCTTGTTCTTATCCCCTGCTGTAAATTGTAAAGGCCTTTAGCTATACACAATAAATTGATTGAATGTGTGTGTGTGTGTGTGTGCGCGCGCGCGTGCATGTATATATCTATCTTTAGCAGATCATAGGTAAAGGTAAAGGGACCCCCGACCATTAGGTCCAGTCGTGACCGACTCTGGGGTTGCGGCGCTCATCTCGCTTTATTGGCCGAGGGAGCCGGCGTACAGCTTCCAGGTCATGTGGCCAGCATGATTAAGCTGCTTCTAGCGAACCAGAGCAGCGCACGGAAACGCCACTTACCTTCCCTCCGGAGCGGTACCTATTTATCTACTTGAACTTTGACGTGCTTTCAAACTGCTAGGTTGGCAAGAGCAGGGACTGAGCAACAGGAGCTCACCCCGTCAACGGGGATTTGAACTGCCGACCTTCTGATCGGCAAGTCCTAGGTTCTGTGGTTTAACCCACAGCACCACCCGTGTCCCTTAGCAGATCATACTTCTGCATAATTTGCATGGGTAACTTATCTGCTATCTAGATGCTGAGTGTCGAGATAGCTGATTCTATACACAAGAGACATCAGCTCAATTAGCCACCCCCAACTTGGCACCTTTCTGATGTTTTGAACTCTAGCTCCCATCAGCCCCTGTCAGGTTGTGGAAGGCTGAGCTAGATCCATAGAGAATGGACAGCAACTTCCCCCCTTGGGTTCTGGTGGCAACTTTGCTTGAATCCAGGTATGCAGATGTGCATGTCACAGCAGGCCTGTAGAAGGCAGGAAACAGCTGCTTCCTTTCACACTTACTTACTCAGATTAACCAAATGGAATGGTAGCAATAACTCCATGGAGCATGATGAAGCTACTCCTGGAAAAGAAAAAATCAGCTTTATAAATTGCTTCCACTGACTTATCACATCACAAAATAGGATTTCCATCCATCTTTGTGGGATTTGGTTCCTCTGGCTGTCCGGACACCTGGTAAAGAACAGACAACCTGCAAAAAGCATTGTCATAAATCTACCAATTTGTCTATAATAATTTGGATTAAAAAACAACAACAGAGTTTAAATCGCTATTAGGGGTTGCAGGGACAAGACTGGTAGAGGGGGTAGAAAAATGAGAGCATTGTGGATATACAGAGGGAGAAAAGAGCCTGGAGGTCTGAGGGAAAGATACAGACAGAGGTCTTCCCTCCCTGACTCAAACCCCTTCCAAACCAGTGGTCTAAACCACTGAGCCTCTTGGACTTGCCAATCAGAAGGTCAGTGGTTCAAATCCCTGTCATGGGGTGAGCTCCCGTTGCTCTGTCCTAGCTTCTGCCAACCTAGCAGTTCAAAAGCACACCAGTGCAAGTAGATAAATAGGTACAGCTGCGGCAGGAAGGTAAATGGTGTTTCCGTGTGCTCTGGCTTCCCTCACGGCGTTCTCTTGAGCCAGAAGTGGTTTAGTCTTGCTGGCCACATGACCCATTTGTCTGTGGACAAACACCAGCTCCCTTGGTCTGAAAGCCAGATGAGCGCCACAACCCCATAGTCGCCTTTGACTGGACTTAACCGTCCAGGTCCTTGCTGCTTGCTAGTTCTTGCATCCACTAATGTGAGGGCTAGACACATGGTTGTGTTAAAAAAGAAAATAATTACTAGGATCATGCTTATGTTGCCACCTCCTGTTACATAACCAGGTTTGGTGCTGTGCAATTTGATAGCATCTGTGCAGATTGCTGCACGCTGCATTCTAACATTTGTTTTTCCAATACAGATGTGGTGGCCAGCCAGGCAGAGAGGAATCCCGCTGAATGAGTGAAAAGCTATCCACTGCTGAAAGTACCCATGCTGGGAGCCAGATGTCTCTAATTCTCGGAGCATGCCGCATATTCCAGAACATCACTGCTCCATAAAACATTACTAGATTCCATTTGTGTGTCTCGGAACTTCAAAGTTATTGCACTGAATAGAAGAGACTCTGTATGTCCCCAAAGGATTTGGTTTCTTAAGGATTTATCTTGCTACCTGAGGAGTGCCATTGTCTAGCTCATTTACTGTTTATCATCCTCACCACTCAGCTATCACAGACTAAAGAAAACAGGCAGAAATTTTGCAGGGGCCAAGGGGAAACCTGCTAAGAATTGCTAAGTTATTCAGGAATTCACGAAGCTGGTTGTTTCTTCAATTAGTTTCCCTTCCATAGTCGCCCACCAAAGGGTGCTTTAGCCTTACAACAACCCTGTGAGGTAGGTTGGACATGCTATCCATGCATCTGTTCTGTAAGCACTTGCACTTGCTGAGTGTTTTTAAAAAGTGCTTTAAAGCCATCAAACAATATGACGTTGGGCATCTGAGACATTTAAGCCGCAGAGGAACAGGCAGTGGCTGTGCTACGTTGCAGCCTCCCTTCCGGTTCTGCCATTAGACTGAGCAGTCCCACCTCAAGTAGTAGATCTGGGGTCACCATCAAGAGGAAGCAGCTCCCAATTAGTAGATAGTGCAGGACCCTTTAAGAAGCTGCAAGAAGAAGACATGCAAAAGTGGATCCTACCCTAGTGGCCCCTTCACCCAACCTCCTCCTCTCCCTGCCTGCTGCAAGATGCTCTGCGAGTACAGTAAACTTGCTGCTGCAAGCAGGAACTGTGCAGAAAAGCTGAAGGTCTGTGTGATCACTGAGCTGGTCAGCTCCAATGGCTACGCACACCCTGCACTACTCTGTGATGCAACTCCAGCCTTTGATTTTCTTTTTTTTTTTTTAAATATTTTTTATTGCTTTTTTTCCAGGGTCAAATACATCGTCAGTAACTCAGCAAAAAGCGGTTTTACAGAATAAAGAAAGAAAGATAGAAAAAAGAAAATTTCAAACATTTTTCATGATCCACTGGACTTCCCCACATCCCCAGCGCCCTGCATTCTTTATAAAAAATAAAATTACAGCAAATTAATACCTTGTTTCATGCGTTTTTGTATTTTCATCTGATTATATTTTAGCTTTAGAGTACTTATTGTTAGGTAACTTCTTTCTATCCTCCATCCCTAATATTAGGAACATTGCTCTAAATTTTGAACTTTTCACAATCATAACTTAATTTCCCCCATTTTCAAATCTCCATACTGAAGCATGTTTTTCCAATAACTTAGCAAATTCTCAACATTCATATAACTTATAATGCTTTTGTAGATAGTCCTTAAATTTTTTCCAGTCCTCTTCCACTGCCTCTTCTCCCAGGTCCCGGATTCTGCCTGTCATTTCGGCCAATTCCATGTAGTCCATCAGTTGCGTATGCCACTCTTCCAGCGTGGGTAACTCCTGTGCCTTCCAGTATTTAGCTATAAGGATTCTTGCTGCAGTAGTTGCATAGAGAAAAAAAGTTCTGTCCTTTTTTAACACTCTCTGGCCCACAATGCCCAGGAGGAAGGCTTCTGGTTTCTTGTGAAAGGTATACTTAAATACCTTTTTCAACTCATTATAAATCATTTCCCAAAAAGCCTTCACCTTCGGGCATGTCCACCAGAGGTGAAAAAAAGTTCCTTCAGCTTCCTTACATTTCCAACATTTATTATCAGACAAATGATATATCTTTGCAAGTTTGACTGGGGTCATGTACCACCTGTATATCATTTTCATAATGTTTTCTTTCAGGGCAGTACAAGCCGTAAATTTCATACCGGTGGTCCATAACCTTTCCCAGTCTTCAAACATAATGTTGTACCCAATATCTTGAGCCCATTTTATCATAGCTGATTTGACAGTCTCGTCTTGAGTATTCCATTTAAGCAACAAGTTATACATTCCTGAAAGCACTTTCGTCTTAGGTTCAAGTAGTTCTGTCTCTAATTTCGATTTCTCCACCTGGAAGCCAATTTTTTTGTCCTTTTTAAAAGTTTCTTGTATTTGGGCATAATGTAGCCAGTCTCGCACCTTATCTTTTAATTTTTCTAAACTCTTCAACTTCCAATTGTCTCCGACTCTTTCTATTATCTCGCAATATTTTGCCCAGCCACTCTCCATGTTAAGCATTTTTGGGGCCTTAGCCTCCATTGGTGATAGCCACCTCGGAGTCTTGTTTTCAAGTAAGTCTTTGTATTTGGTCCAGACATTGAACAAAGCTTTCCTGACAATATGGTTTTTAAACAATTTATGAACCTTTACCTTGTCGTACCACAAATATGCATGCCACCCAAACGCATTGTTAAACCCTTCCAGATCTAGGACATCAGTGTTTTCTAGTAAAAACCAATCCTTCATCCAGCAGAAGGACGCAGCTTCGTAATATAACCTTAAGTCCGGCAGGGCAAATCCCCCTCTTTCTTTTGCATCTGTTAGAATTTTAAATTTTATCCGGGGCTTTTTGCCCTGCCAGACAAACTTCATAATGTCCTTCTGCCACTTTCCAAAACATTCCACTCTGTCCACAATCTGCAGGGTTTGGAACAAAAACAACATCTTAGGCAATACATTCATCTTTACAGCTGCGATTCTTCCCAACAAGGAAAGTTTCAATCTCGACCAAATTTCTAACTCCTTTTTGATTTCAGACCAACATTTTTCATAATTATCTTTAAACAAATTCAAATTTTTCCCAGTCAAATTGACCCCCAGGTACTTCACTTTTTTAACCACATTTAATTCCGTTTCCTTCTGAAACCCCTCTATTTCTAAAGAAGTCAAGTTTTTTGCCAGGACCTTAGTTTTTTGTTTATTCAACTTGAATCCCGCCACCCGACCAAACTCATAGATTAATTCTAGGACTCTTTTTGTGCTAGATTCTGGCTCCTGCAATGTTAAAACTAAATCATCTGCGAAGGCTTTCAGTTTGTATTGTTTTCCTCCGACCTGTATTCCTTCCACCAGCTGATCCCTTCTAATCAGGTTCAACAGCACCTCCAGGACAGAGATAAATAACAAGGGCGATAGGGGGCACCCCTGTCGTGTCCCTTTTTCAATTTTGAGCTCCTCTGTCACCACATTGTTCACTATCAGTTTAGCCTTTTGTTCTGAATATATTGCTTCAATCCCATTTTGGAACGCCCTTCCCACACCCATCCCTTCCAAATTTTTCTTCATAAATCTCCAAGATATATTGTCAAAGGCCTTCTCGGCATCTATGAAAATCAAAACTGCTTTCGTGTTCAAATTTGTCTGCAGTAACTCCAAGACATCAATAATGTTCCTGGTGTTGTCCGACAAATGTCTACCAGGGAGAAAGCCTGCCTGATCTTTATGAATTACTTCATTTAGAACTTTTTTAAATCTACTTGCCAGAATATCAGCAAAAATTTTGTAATCCACGTTTAGGAGTGAGATGGGACGGTAGTTCTTAAGTTGAGTCTTTTCAGATTCCAATTTAGGTATCAAAGTGATGAAAGCTTCTTTCCACGATTCTGGTGCTCCCTTCCCTTCCATAATTTGGTTACATACCTCCATTAACGGCTGAATCAAATAATCCTTCAGTGTCTTATAATATTTGGAAGTAAGTCCGTCTGGGCCTGGAGATTTGCCTAGTTGCATATGCTGAATGGCACTTTCAATTTCCTGTTGTGTTATTCTGTGGTTCAGGATTGTTTGTTTATCTTGTTGTAATTTCTGCAAGCCATAACTTTTTATAAATTGATTTATCTCAGACTCTACTTGGGGTCCTTGAGTAAACAGTTTTTTAAAAAATCTCTGGAAGGACTTTCTAATTTCTTCTGGTTTCTGAATACATTCTCCTTCAACCTCCAGATTGGTAACAAAGTTCAGTCTTTGCCTCTTTTTCAGCTGCCACGCCAGCAGCTTCCCACATTTATTTGCTGATTCAAATGATCTTTGTTTCATCTGCTTGATTTTCCATTCAACCTCTTGGTTGATCAATTTTGCATATTGTGCCTGATGAAATTTTATTTCTCTTAAAACTTCTTTTGATTTTGGATTTAATCTCAGCTTCTTCTCTCCATCTCTTATCTTCTCCAAAATCTTATCCTTTTTACCATTCCAGAGTTTTTTCTTAATAGTATTCTGTTGTATCAGAAACCCTCTCATCACTGCTTTACTCGCGTCCCAAATTGTTTTCTTTTCCACCAAGGTGTTCAAATTTATTTCAAAATAGTCCTTCAACGTTTTTTGGGCCTTCTTCACAATCTCCTGATCTCTAAGTAGGGTGTCATTCATTCTCCATCTGAAGGATCCAGCTGGTGTAAGTCTCAAATCCATTTTCAAGGCGTTATGGTCGGAGCAGGTTTTGGGGCAGATTTCTATTTTTTTTGTCTTAGGTGCCAGTCCTCTAGATAACCAAATTTGGTCGATCCGTGTCCATGATAGGTGGGCCTCAGAAAAGAATGTCCCTTCTTTTCCTAAAGGGTTTTTTGTCCTCCAAATGTCAATCAAATCCATATTGTCTGTTAGTTCAAAAAAAGTCTTAGGTAGTCTGCCATCTTTAGTCAAGTTTTGAGTTTGTGACTTGTCCATATAAGTGGAGACAACCCCATTCATATCTCCCATCAAAATGATGTTAGTATAGTCAATATGGTCCAGCATTGTCTCATGCAGCTTTTTGTAAAATTCCGATTTCCCCTCGTTTGGTGCATATATTCCTACTATCAGGAATTTTTCTCCTTGTGATTGTATTTCGATCGCCAAAATTCTTCCTTGCTCATCTTTAAAAACGAACTTCGGTGCTAGGTTCTCCTTTGCATAAATCACTACTCCTCTTTTTTTAACTTTGTCTGATGAGATAAATTCTTGGCCTAGTCTCTTATTAATTAACACCCTCCTGTGGAGTCTAGTCACATGTGTTTCTTGCAAGCAAATAACGTCCAATTGGTCTTTCCTCAAAATGTGAAAAATCCTTCTTCTTTTTTCCGGGGAATTTGCACCATGAATGTTCCAGCTAAGAAGCTGCAGAGACATCCTGAATCAATTTGTCAACCTATAGGGTTGTCTCCCTTGTCGTCTATATCTGGAAGTGGATCTGGTTTTGGGCCAGGCGGAGGAAGTGACCAAGCACCTGCAACTCCTTTCCGAAGGTCCTCCCCGTAGTCGTTTAGGAACTTTTCTTGCTCCTCTGCTGATCTGATTCTTACCTTTTTCCCTTTCAGACTGAAAGATAATCCTTGGGGGAATTCCCACCTATAAGGGATTGTGTTGTTCCTTAGTAGACTTGCAAGGTCTTTGTATGTAGCTCTTAAATCCAACAATTGTTTCGGTATATCTCTGAAGATTTCTGCTGTCTTTCCTTGAATCACCAATGAATTTTTAAAATGTAGGCCGAGTAAGTTGTCTCTTTCTTGCTTTGATCTCAAGATGATCAAGCAGTCTCTTGGTTTATCTTTTTTAACCACTCTTCCCAGTCTAAAGGCGGTAACAATTTTGTAGTCCTTCTCTTCTGCCAGACCCCAGAATTTAGATATTTCTGCTGTCAAAAAACCAATCAAATCTTCTTTCTCAAATTCTGGGATATTCCTAAGCCTAAGATTGCTTTCCCGGTTTTTCAGTTCCGCCATGGACAGATAGGCTTGCTGTTCATTGATCTGTCTGCCCAGTGGTCTTACTTCCCCTCTTAATTCCTCAATTTTCTTCTTATTTTGTTCCGCTTTTAAATTTACTTCTTCGACCAATTTACGATTCTCTGTTGTTGTTGTTTGTATATTACCAATGGCCTGTGTATTTTGAGAAACTTGGTCGGTCAGCTTGTTAATTGAAGCTGTCACTTGATCAAATCTAGCCGCTTGTTCATCAGCTTTCTTGT